GGGGGGGGGGCAAACATGCATAGATGTAAAGGCAGACATACAGCATATTCCATAGTTTTTATCATTCCGATATGTCCAACTTCTGCCACATTACATTGTCTCGCGAACTGATATAGCTCCCATGAGATCAAGCAGCAATCATGATACATTATCGTCCGTAACAGATGATATTGCCCTCAAGAGATTATAATACGACTTGTCCTTACTATATATTTTTACAACTTATATATATAGTAACAGTTAGTCATATTGGACTAGTATTGCCAAGAGACACAATAACCGAGGTCCGAATGATTGAGGAAGACGAAGACAATGGCGTGTCAACCTGATCATTAAGGTCCGAATGATTGAGGAAGACGAAGACAATGGCGTGTCAACCTGATCATTAAGGTCCGAATGATTGAGGAAGACGAAGACAATGGCGTGTCAACCTGATCATTGTTACTACTGTATTATTGTTTTATTTTACTTCTATTATGAAAATATGCAATCATTTTCAGTCATGATTACATCACGACTCAAGGGCTTGATGGCCGACAAATCTCGAACAAAATGACCTACTTCCGGTCTGATTTATTTGTATCAGACTTTGTATCAAAAGACAACCGGAAGATACCCCAAAAGTGCAATATAGCAGCTAATTTAAACGGTTAAACTTCATGGTTTTTAAATTTGTAGTTTATGGATACATAGTTGTACTTTATGATATTGTATTGAGATTTCTTCTGCTACGGAGACATTGAAGAAACCGAAATTACAACATTAATCTGCTGCCCCTTTGCCACACTTTTGATCCATAGTGTTTCTTTCTTTCCGATATGTCTCCTTAGTCGCCTGCGTTCATGTGACCTTAATTGTGACGAAAGACATTCAACTGCATACAAGCGAACACATAAGTTGCTCTTCAGTCATGACACTTCAGCTTTTCATATAACATGTATACCTTAAATATTTCTTTTAAAATTTAGATAAATAAATAAAAACAGTATAAAAAGCGCTGTATATGTCAATGCTCATTTTACACAGTGTAAACATACCATTCTTTAAACAGAATTCTAATTTTCCAAAGATCGTAAAGCGGATGTGTACGACTGAGGAAATAGGGGATATAATTGATGAGGAAATGAATTTAATTATTTATTTAACACTGAAGACAATTGTAATTACCCTCTCATCCTTGCTTGCTTAGAAAATCGAATTACAGAACGAAGGTCTAAAGTCAACCCAGAAGCCATTGCTGCAGTATTATGAGATCGCATTTAAATTGACTACGCGAGCTGAAGGTTCCGGAATCCTAACGTGTGTTTATTAGAGAGTATGCTACCTAATTCCGTTTTCGTGGAAACTTTAACCTTTCCGTATTCGTACTTTATGGCGATTTCTGTTAAATTAAAAATTTCGAAGTTATTACTTAGATAAACCGCATTTCTTTTATACCTATTTGTTTAACAGATGAAGTTGACAATGACATTTTTAAATTAAACTGCCTTAAGCGGAATATTATTTCAATGTATTGAGTCGTTTTTTCATTCGAATAACTTGATTTTTATTTTTATGCTTTTGTTTTCGATCTTTACGTTATGTTTTTTGGCATTGCGAAAGTTGCTTAGTTTGAGTGGATCAGTAAGTGAGTAAAAATATATAAAAAGTAAAACAAATTATGTAACACACAAATATCATTTTCTACCACAAACTTTTCAACGCGTTGTGACGTCACGTTTCATTAGCGAAAATGTGTTCGAATTCACAGAAAAGTATTTAAATCAACTCAAATGGGAAAAGCCATTGAAATTTTTAGTTTCAGTTTTGCTTTTGTACGGATTGAAAAAATATATAAGGTATGACGTCATTACTTTCATGACGTCATACTCACGTTTATTTGTTGAAGCTGTTGCATGATACAAATGTATATAATGTAAAGATTAACTTAATGTAACTACCTTGTACTTGTAATTCTCTTCTGCATTATTGCAGTTACTGTCACTCTTTTGCCGACTACTACAAAATATAGAATGCTTCACAGTATTGAGACGGCATTCCACTGCAGGAGGTTGTTTGGTTTCTATCACAACATGGTTTGGAAAAGACCTGCTATATTCTACTGTATGGTATTTTAAGAGGCGACCTATGTTGAACATCTTCATATGTTTTTTCTGCTATTTTGGACATTTCAGAATCCAAGATTTATATACTGCCACGATTACAATACTCTGGGCGTCTATCATTCTTTTGTTTCTTTCCTCTTCTCTCCCAACTTACCTTTCCTATCGTTAGTTTGCCACTATAACCTTAGATGTAGTGGGGGCGATTTTGGATTTATTAGATAAGTCCAGAGTTTTGGTTCCGGCATTCATTCTATTTTTAGTTGACCTAGCTGTAAAACAACTCTGAAAATAGTGGCGTCCTTCTGAGAGTACACATGTACTCTAATTCTCAGAGCAGACAATTAGATTAGTTTGGACTAAAATAGGGTTGTCGTTATGGACCATGAAGAAGAAAAAAACGTTTTAATTAAAAATCAGGTTTTGTAATTCTGTTTAAAACATTATGATATGTTGAATCATGGCATGTTCAGAAAGCGCGATACATCAGCATAGTTTCACTGATTGAGAGCGTTGATAACATGTACCACAAACCAGAGAGGAACTTAATTCGCAAAGCCAATTAAATTAATAAAAAGGGAAACTGATTTACTTTTCATCATTACATTCAAGATCGGATTCGATCAATACATAACGGAATTTGAAATTACGGAAATGTCATTGAAAGCATCCATCAATATGCCTTTTTCTCCTTCATCCGCATAAGATTATTATGTTTGTAAAGATTTCCGATTTCAAGATTGAATTCTCTTTCACCGCCTCTGATGTTATACAGATATTGGCTCGAACGGTTTGGTTATTAATCATAATAAGATTTCATTGCATTTGGATTTCAGCTAGTTCTTAGAACCCGAATCACGCCATCCTCACATTTCCTGAAAGACTCCCTTTTGAAAGCCTTAAATTGATGCTAAAATATCGTAACAATGAAAATTAATTGAACTCTTTTTTCATCACGAATACTGTATTATATTAAAATCAACACATTTGTTTTTTTTTATGTTAAACAAATATTTGGTTGGCGGTGAAAGGATTCAAGGGTAATACTTCTTCTAAGAAATGTGTTTTGGATGTCACCGAGGACAGTCCCGACCGTAGGTACTAAAATTTTGGTTTCCTAAATAAGCCAAAAATTCTTACCCTAACGACATAACCAACTGACATCGCTCCCTGCAGACTCGGGGGGGNTGACCAATGAGGATCAAGGGTTTTCTTCTGTGTTATCTGCTAAGGGAGTTTTAAAGAAATTGAAAAGCTATCTGCTGGCCGTATTGAAACACTTCGAATCTATACTTTTTTCAACTTCCATTGTCTTTCTTTTGGCAGTGATTCCATAGGCACCAGTCTTCATTTGTTTTTGTCTGTTGCGAGGATGTTCAATATCATACAAACAAACAAAACCCCAAATGACATACTTACTGTTTAATTTGTTACCAAAGCTTTCTGTCACAGAAACTAATTTCAACTTAAATGCACACAACCGCCTTAAACGTAGATTATATGTATTAGCAGTTCAAACCTTAGCACGTTTTATAAAACTATTTCGAAATACAAATCTCGTTTATTTTGCAGGTGCGCTTTTTGACCCCAGGGCTGAGGAACTTCGCAATGAGTTCGAAATGGAGATCAAACGTATACAGGTGGATGATCGACCGGGCACATACCTAGATCCGAAATTTAGAGAACTTGATATCACCGACAGCTTTGAAGTCAGTAATGCAAGTAAGTACAATATCGTCAACGTTTCTTTACAATGCCAGCTCATGTTGTCAGATTGATTAAATTGTGAAATTATCATAAGTAAGGATCCTTGTCCAATATTAGATAAAACACCTTGGCCCGTATGCATGAAGCCGTTCTCATGCTTAAGCATGGTTTTTGTGCTCAAGCCAAATTTCTTGTCCCCGTTATAAATTGATAAAACAATCTTATTTTGTCAATGGTTTGGAAAATTATTGAAGAGACTTAAAGCCGAATACTGTTTTCAATGTTTGCATATGACGTTTCGACCGTTTGACATGATTTAAGCGAGTTATAAGAAAGTAGGTTTAAGCACAAAATCTATGCTTGAGCATGAGAACAGTTTCATGAATGTGGGCCCAGAAGATACCACAGTAGTCTATCATACGTAGAGTAATATACCTTTATCATTTCGTTTCGCATATAAATACAGCATGACTAGGCAAGGTCACTCGTTGACAAGGTAGCTCAGTTAGTTAGAGCTTCGGTAGAAAGATTGGGGGTTCACTGTTCGAAACCATGACTGGCATTAGCACAGTTTTATACGCACATTTTTTAGCTATATATTTTTGTAATGGTACACGTATCCTTAAAGTGTGTGTGTGTGTGTTGGGGGGGGGGGGCCCAATTAATCAATGTACATAGATATTCAAGAAGCTTTACATTACCTCTTTACGCTTACTCTTTCAGTAAGTATTTTTATCGAATTATGATTCTGATTTTTTCATTTTCTGATTTGGATAACAGTCTTCATTTTCTGAATTACTTAGTTCACCCTGTTAATTTCCCGCTTCGTTGAAATATTCTTCACATTGAGCGGATGTTTAACAGCATGTTGCTCACCCTTCATTAGCCAACGAATTTATCATCACTGACCAGCCTCTCTGACCAGTTGAAATGTGGAATGAAGAGACTGCAACATGGGACCAATGGGGTTTTATTATGAAAAACATCGATAGATCATCCGAAATAATCATTATCTCTAGAATGACGTTGCAACACCTATACATACATTCTGACGTAACCCCGCGGTCCTCTTCATAGACCGCTATGGTTGTATACGAGAAAACCCTAATTGGTTTTTCTGACCGAACAGTAGAGATCACGATATATTGTATGTAATTACAACGAACAGGAACCATCTGTTGGTTTATGGATTACGTTTTACTTCCGGTTTTTGTAGTAAATCGATGAAGATATATGTTTTTCTGAAACTTTAATAGCGTTGAGCATCATAGAGACATTATGGATATACAACGATTGTTAACAACAGTCTGCATAGACCATTTTCGTGGAGTTATAAAGTGGAAGATTTTATCTTGCTTAGCAATCCAAGATAACGTCATAGGCGATTTCCGTCAAATGATAATGTGTCATATGCTATCAAGATTAGCAATCCAAGATTGCGACGTATACCGTTTTTTAAGTTATGCGTAGACCTTTTATCTTGATTACAATATAGCAATCCATGATGGCGACGTACACCATTTTTATAGTTATAAAGGGTAGGATTTTGTCTTGCTTAGAAATCCAAGATGGCAACGTACACTGTAGATCATTTTCAAAGTTAGAAAGTGTAGGATTTTATATTACATAGCAATCCAAGATGGCGAAGTAGATCATTGTCATTGTTAGAAAGAGTAGGATTTTATATTGCTTAGCAATCTAAGATAGAAACGTAGACTATCTTCATAGTTAATTGTATAATATTTTACTTAGAAATCCAAGATAACAACGTTGCCAATGTTGCAAATTCGTTTTTAAAAAACCGCTATGGAAGTAACTTATAAGATACTGACCATTTTCATTTCAGTAATAATTACCATAACTTTAGTATGCATATACAATACCTACACCCATCTTTGTAGCCCAAAAACAAAAGATTCAAATATCCCTACCTACCTACCGTGACGTAACCTCTATCTCGATGACAGAGCCACAGAGTGCTCTTCCTTTTATGGCGCCTGCTGCTTGCTGACGCACGGAGCTTGCTCCAATTCAAAACTTTGTTTTGTCGGTTTGGTTTGAGTGTCAACTCATATTTTTGCGCAGTTTGTGTGCCTTTTACCCATCTGCCCTTATTGATATAACTAATTGTTGTTGAAAATTATTTTTGTGCCTTTTACGGCCGGTTATTTTACTCCACGTGTGCCGGTGGTGTGCCACGGTCCGCCATTATCGTGGGTTAATTTCCGACCTCTGTTTATTTCGGTGACGGTTGTTTGTTTCGGCAAACGTTATTTATTTTAACCGTTTTCTGATTTATATTACGGGTGAACTTCTTTCTACGTTGCGTACTTTGTACTATCGTATTTTATGCTTATTTTCCCGTTTTATCTGCTTGTAAATTTTTTGTTTACGTTCGCTTTGGAGGGTATGTCTCGGTCGGGACAGCGACGAGGTAGTGCTCATGGGTGTTCCCATTTCTTTGTGGAACGGGACCCTCATGATGCCTGTCCCAGGTGTCGTCCTTGCAGTGAGGTTTCGCCTTGTGAACTTTGTTCACAGTCAAAATCTCAGGGCAAGGACTTCATTGTTCCAAAGCTACCCTCAACTTACCGTAAGACAGATTCGTCTGTTTCTTCCGGTAAGCGAGGGAAGCAGAGAGGTAGGGGTCGTGCCACCAGCTCTCTGGGGTCTGGTGGTACTGTCTCTGTTCCTGTCTCGGGGGGTCTTGCTTCGGCAAGTCCCTCTCGTGAGCAGGGGGTGGCCCTTCCTGTCCAGGAACTCCCTGGAGTAGGGGAGGGGCAGCCTGACCCTGGCTTGGCACAGCCAAGGGTCGAATTGGCCGGGAACGCCCGTAAGCTTTCGCGCTTGCCTTCGGGTAGGGACTACCGGCCGCCGGTCACTGACTCTGTCAGTGATCCCGGCATTCCAGGTGGTGCTGTCGTTGGGGACAGTCTTGGTGCCGGGCCTGTTCTTTCGGGTTCAGGTCCTGGTGTGACAACAGACTTTCTTTCGGGATTGTCTGTGTCTACCGGGATTAGTGACGCGCAGCTCACTAATCCCGGCATCAATGCTGGTCAGGCATACCCTCCCGGTCAGTTACCCGGACCCGGTCCTATTAGGTCCGGTCCCGAGTTTCATTCTTCTGGGAACCTGGGGGGTTTCCCCCCAGGGGTTGGGTTTGCTGGACAGGGGGCCGGTTTCCGGCCTCCGTTTTCCCCTGGCTTAGGGTATACGGGTGCCTGCGGGCAACCATCCTTGGGCCGCCCTTACCAGCCTGCGGATGGTTTTGGGTTGCGGCAGCATCCCGGCAGTTACGGGCTTAGCCCGTACATGTCCGGGTTTCCACCTGGAGGGAGTGGCGGTCCACCTTCGCCCTTTGGGCAAGTTGGCCAGCCCCAGTCTCAGGCAGGCCAGTTTGGCCAGTTCTGGGGTCACTCCCAGCCCGCGGGACCTTTCCCCTATCCTCCGGGATATGGGTTTAACCCCATGGCATTTCCGTCATGGAATCCTTGGGGTTTGGTCTCTCCCTCGCGGAGACGTGTTAGCAGTTCTGTTGACCCCCCCCAACTTTCTGCTACTTCGGGGGCCTTATCGGCCGGTCCTAAGAAGGTGTGTCGGACCTTTAGGACTTCTGCCTCTCGGGCAGGCTCGTTGGTCTCTGGGTCCAAGGGTAGGGTTTTGGCTACTAAGCCTAAACCTACAGCCACGGCCGTTAGGCGCACTGCACCTAAACGCCGGTACGGGGAGCCTTCTCTCGGGTTGGCCCCTCTGGCTGGCCCATTTCCTCCGCCCCAGGCTTCTGGTCTGGATGGTGTGGAGGCTATGGACGTTGAGGGCGCGGGTATGGCAGAGGACAATGATGTTGTTCATCTTTCACCTGGTTGTTCGGATATAGACGCTGGTCTTTCCGAGTCGTCTGACGACAGTCCTCAGGAGGGCTTGCCCTCAGAGGAGGACTTCCAGGATGAGGGAGACCCTGAGGCTGCTGAGGTTGAGGCCCAGCATGTGTTATCCGGTATGCGGGGCCTTAGGGCTGACGTTTCCCGGATTCTTGGGGAGGAGGTTTGCCCACCACCTTCGGCATCATCTGTCCCCGAGTCCACCACCCTTTTGGGTTCTTTGGTGGCTCCTCGGGTGTCCGCTCGGTCGGACCGCTCTCTGCCAGAAGGCACCATTGTGTCTTCAGCTCTGGCCACCGCCCAGTCTCGGGTTTTAGGGAAGAATTCTTCTTCAACCCGTAGTCCTGGGTATGCTGGGTTGCAGCTCAGTGTTGGCGATTTGTCAGAGGTGCACGCCACTGACTATGCCACACATGATGGTCTGCTTGCCCCTCAACCAGCTAAGCTGGAATCGAGGGAACTTGCAGCTTGGCCCGGTAAATCGGTGGACCAGGTGGTGTTCGGTCCCAAAGAACACCACAAGATGGAGAGACTGCTGCGTCTCTCCATCCAGATTCTGTCGTATATAGACTACTTGACGGTTTGTCTATATAGGGTATCCGACTTGCCTGAGGGTCGGATTACCGAGACAGAGCAGGCCGACATCCAGGACAGAGTGACCTCTGCCCTGAACGGGGCATTGAGAGCGCTGGCAGCTTTACAGGTGTCATCCCTCGTCAATGTCTTGTTGGCTAGGCGGTTTTCAGTTTTGAAAAATCGCCCGGTCGATGAGCCTTACCGTTCCAGACTGTTGACTGCCCCCTTCTCAGGGTCCACTCTTTTTGGAGGGGCCCTTCCTTCTGTTCAGAAGGATTTGAAGGAGGACTCGGTCGCCTCTGCACTTCTGGTGAAGAGGATTCAGGCTGAGAAGGCCAGTACCTCGCAGGGGTCAGCGCCTCCTAAGAAGAAGGCTAAACCTTCGGCTTCGCAGTCCTCTGCGCAGCCCAAGTATAAGCCTCCCTTCAAGGGCAACAAATGGAAGGGTAAGAAGGGTAAGAACCCTCCTGGGGGTAAGAAGAAGGGTTCCTGACTCTTTTCTTCCCTCCTTGGTCGTGTCAGACGACGAGTTTGGCCGGGAGGAATGCAGTCCTCTCG